ATTTATCTTCCCGGTCTTATCAAAGATCTAATATGATATGACCAAACTTTGTATATACAAGCAGCATTCGAGTTCCGACGTTAATTGCACCAAGTTATTAAAACTAGCTATGAAGTGCATAAATTTACTTTCATTTTTAATCTAATAAAATCATTGATGGCCTCTAATAGCATAACTGTCTGACATATTCATCACCGCTGTCATTCGTTCTTCTAATTAAACTTTGTATTCAAACAGTATTCGGCGTCACCGGCGGTTATTCAACCAAAGTTCAATAGTTCTAAAAACTAGCCAGGGAACATGAAATGTGTTTTCTATGAATTTCAACTATAAAACATTGGGGATTGATTGAGATAATATATCTGTCATGTTAAATTGATTCATGAAGTTCCCGCGTGATTTTTAATTATAATTGATAGAAGAAACAATTGTACACGTTTCTGAGATATAGCCTAAGTTGCCGAAGTTTGTAAATTGATATTATTTTAGCTCATTCACCAGACTGATGCGTCGCGCAAATTTAAATTAGCGCATAAAGTTCCCCATTAATTTCCAATTAAACTTCATAAGCAAATTTATCATTTATATCCTAACAGGTGAGCTGAAATAAATCATCATTTTGTTTAATCGGAAAATTAGATTGATGTGTCAGACACAATTCAAATTAGCGCATAAAGTTTCCCATTGGATTCTAATTAAAATTCATCATAATTCATAAAAGGCATCATAACTTTCGCATCAGGTGAGCTGATATAATAAATACTCAATTTTGATTTAGCAAATGAACCTCATTTGTCATTCTGGTGATAGGAGAAAGCATCAATACTGTATTTGTTGTTGGGCCGATAGCCGAATGGTTATTGATTTAGTTTGTTAATTTACATATGTTTCACGTAAAATACTTCCCAACTTTTACCACTTTTCAGGGTGAGTTGAAATTGAGTAAAACAATTAATCCTCGTTCGGCAAAAATGTTTAAAACACTTAAGTTGTCCATGCCAAGCTTACACTTCCGTATATACCCGCAAGTAGCGAGTGATAAGATGTCGCGCAACCTTTAACATGCAAAATTCAATTGGCCGATTGAGTAAGTAACAAAGGAGAAATACCAGGAAATAGAAACAAATATACGAAAAATCAGAAAAGTAGGCAAAATACAAAACTATTGAAGACGTGATGATGCACGTGCCCACTTACCCCAAGCAACACATTCTGATATTGAAGCAAATATTTAAATAATACACGAGAAATAATTCGGGCGTGAATACTTGAGTGTGTAGTTTTTGCGAATTGGTTGAATGAAGTAGATGGTTTACAAGGGGTTTTATTTAAGGAAGAATATGTAAGAGTGATATAATTAAATATGCTTTGATTTGTGCTTTAGATAGATTTCGTGAATATATCCAGTGTCCTATTTAACTGCATTGACATAGCAGATTACAGCACATCTCGGGTTCGCAGTCTCGAGGTCATGGACTTCCACATACACAGTGAATTAGAAATAGGGACGGGCATGGCCAGATCATGCCGTTCGAAAGCTCTAAAGTCTACTAAGCACTTACAACTTTGGTGTCTTATTTAGAGGGAAAAAAATATTGAAACTAGTGTTCCATGTCATTTGAATAAGTTTCAGTATTCACTAATTATTAAAAGCTAAGTTGCGATTAATTTACATGATATTATCTGGATATATTATGAATGATATTATCTGGCCTATATTAAGGCCTGAATCGTCTGACCAACTCGAATTACTTGATTAAACACTGATATACCATTGAAAACTCGGCTATAAAAATTTCTGTGGTGACTCCACTTTTTTGTTCCCCTAAGCAGGTGTTATTATGCTTAATTAATGGATAATTCAACCGTGGTGATGAATATACCGATACAATGACTAATTGAATGGCCTCCTCCATAGAGAACTATTGGGCTGCCTAATACACATCAGGTTAGGCATGGGGATAGATATATGGTCCCAATTGACATTTGAATGACCCCATCCTTAGAAGGCTATTGGGCCGACATATAGACAAGAGGTTGAGAAACAGAGTTGGATAAATTACACCAATAGTCATTTGAATGTCCTCCTCCGTATACAACTATAGGGCTGTCACATACACATCAGGTTATGAATAGAATAGGATAGGATTTACATATTTATCCCGGGGAGAGGAAAGCCGATAAGACGGCGCAATCATATGGCGAACCACGGCCTCTCGTCCGGTTACCAGTCCAGGTCGGGTATGGGATTAGTTAGCCAGTTATTTGTTTTCGAAAGCATGGACTTGATGGTGGAGGAAGCCGTAACCGACCAGCGGTAACGTGAACCACCCTACGGCGGCGAGGAGTCCAGCAATCCTCTCGCACATGATCATCCCCGCATGGGATTCGTTCCTGCGATCCCACGAAGGGTAATCAAAGATGCGGTGGCGAGCGTAATCCTAACGCTTAGCACGATGCGCCACACCGCCGAGCCAATAGGGATGGATATATGATTCCAATCGCCATTTGAATGGCCTCCTCTATAAAGGGCTATTGAGCTGCCTTATAAGCAACAGGTTAGGAATAGGGGTGAAGATATGGGCCCAATCCGCATTTGAATGGCCTCCTACTATAGAACTAAGGGCTGCCATATGCATATCAGGTTAGGATTAGGAATATGATGTCATCGCCACTTAAATGGCATCCTATTTAAAAGGGTATTAGGTTGCGATAAAGGCAGTTGGATTACAACACAAGGTAATCGCATTATCAAGTGTTTCACCCGATTGAACCTAAATCGTCAAACCAGGTAAATCCCAACTCTGTGAAACGTTCCCAGTACTGTGAACGTAGCGGCATCAGTTGGATGTTTACACTTCCTAACACAGCACTTCCGAGTCACCGCGTTGTTATTTCGTGTTAGAGATGTTTGTTCGGAAGCTTCTGTTCGCTACCAACTGAATCGTTCACGCTTAGTAAAATATGCATTATACTGGTAAATATATCACTTGTAACTAAGAATGCTAAGCATATTTACTTTCGAGTATTCGATTCTTATCCGATTCCTAAATTTTCGATTCCGAATCTCGATTCCTCGACATATCCTTCCGAAAAAACGGCTCGGGTTCCAAATAGCGACTGTCAAAACAGCGACTGTCATAATGGCGACTTCAAAATAGCGACGTAATCAAGTGAGCGACTGTCAAAACAGCGACTGTCACAATAGCGACTGTCATAATGGCGACTTCATAATAGCGACGTAATCAATTGAGCGGCTGTCAAAACAGCGACATCACTTCTGTTATTAAATCCAAGGCTCACGCGCACACGCACTCTTTCACCCGCAACACACACACACACACCTCCCATCACCCGCACCCTAACCCTAACTTTGATTTGTCATTCTTGTACAAAAAGTTAAGTCGCTATCATAACAGTCGCTGTTTTAATGCGGTCGCCATTATGACAGTCGCTGTTTTGACAGTCGCTCAAGTCGCCATTATTACAGTGATGTGAAGGAATTGCCACAAAACGTTACACACTGTTTGCAATCCCTGTTTTACCCTCAAGAATCGATTCCAATGCATCGGAATCGATTCTAGTTGATTTCGCGAAGAAACGATTCTTTAATCGAATCCGGACTCAATTCCGCCATCCCTACCTGTATCTGGCAAGTCGTTATTTGGAATCGTGCAGTCCCTCCGACATTTTTTTCTTCATTTCAAATAATTTTCATGATCGTACCCATTTCTGTGTTTAAATATCGTGTTATGAAAAGATTTGCATATATACCTAACTTACAAATTTTCCACGAATCCCAACCAACTATATAACCTTCCGGCACTGTGCTGTATTTACATTCCAAGATTGTCTTCAATTTTTGCTGACAACCAACATTCTTTATACCACTTTAATCAATTCGTACCCTTGCGACCTTGTCGTCATTAAATCCTCAAAATACATTGTGGTTTGTCGCGATTCAGTAAAATTACGTCATCTAACATCTTGATACAACTCGGATTCGGCAGATTAAACCAGTTTAATCCGGTTTGACCTCAACTTTTGGATTTTACATAACAACGAAATTCCAGGTTAAACATTGTCGCATGATATAGTTTATGATATATGATATAGTTTACTAGACGATGTAAGTTATCTCTATTTAATGATGAAAGCAACAGAACTATAAATAAAATGAATTCGAAACATCCACAAATTCACCATTTTGTTTGCACACCTCTATATATCCACAGCGTGAATATACTTTGCTGCTTTCATGTGCTATATTAGTAAGTCTAACGCGCTATCAAAGTTGATAAATAAAGTTTAATTATTTGAATACGGAGATTCCGGCTACAAAATTTCAGATTTTATACAATAATTTTGCTTTTTTTTCGATAGACATAAATGGAGGTTGTATACTTGCGTTTGTCTTATACATACATGGGCTACTTTATATGCCATACATAATCGTCAAAATCTACTTCATCACTATAGCGCGAAGTCATCCTTAATGAATATCAATTTCATCTATAAATTTAATTTAGCGATAAACACTTAATTTGTACACACATTAACCTAGGCGCATGGTTAGGCGACATACAGACACAGACATGACAATATACAGGGTGGTAAAAAAGTTACGCAAAGTTAGGATAAAATTTTTCGTCATGGCAATCTTAAAAAAGTAACTGTTAAAAAGAGTCAGTCGTGAAATGTTTAGATAAAATTTCACCGTAATTCAATACTCTTAAAATGTGTCAGTCGTTTAAAGTTTTAAGTAGAATTTCATCTTAACTCCTGTTAATTTTGCGTTAGTTATTCTAAGTTGCCTATGATGCAAATTTTTAGTGTAATATACAAGCCCGCTTTATTGTTTATACCGCATTACCGCAATTGATGTTTGTACTGCTAAAATAATCAGGAAACGAATAAAAATTGATTATCACGCTAATTGAGCAGGAACCTAAATAGACTATTTACTAACATGCTAGTATTGTCGCGAGTTGGCTGAACTCTCAAAGACACTTGCAGGCGACATATCGGGAGTACACCCAGGAAGTAGGTAAAATGGATTATCACACCAGAAAATAGTCGGAAGAGTAAATGGATTATTGTTCTGGATTCTGGCATTGTTGCTTTGAATTGTGTTACGTCCAATGTGATGTATTCTATATAATCCACGCTCAATTTTACGTGTTTTGTGTTGATTAATCGAGGTATGTAATACGTGTACTACACATCTTATATCTTGTTAAAAAGATTTTTTTCTTTTCCCCCGAACAAGACTATAAACACAGCTTATTCGAGACAAATTTCTTGCCAACATTGTCTCGAATTACCGAGGAATCGGCTGCTCGCAATTTTATTCATTTTATGCTTTTTATGAGTTCGTGTTTTTTTTTTTACTTCACTCTACTCTGAACAAGGCACTGGACAAGATAGTTTGAGACATATTACTCGCTATTATTGTAGTGAATTTACGATGGAAACCTAACGCAAATTTTTATTAACCTTATGTCTTTTTCTGTGAGTCTTGTACTTTTACTCTGAACAAAGCTATGAACAAGAAACTACAGTGTTTTTGAGTCATACCCGCTCAATATTATGTTCTGATTTAGTATAGATGAGTTTAAAAAATTGGTAAGAGCTTCAAGGTACCAAGCAAATGTTCCGGCAATGTTTTTCATGCCAAAAGCATTGATTGATACTTTCAAACTTTCGCCTTGGCATAGAGTTACTAAACGTATCACATTACCACCTCGCTGTGATTTCCCAAGCATTGAAAGATTGAACTAACTATACACAAGAAAACTTTTATTTTTTTCAATTTGTAAATAATTTAATGATGCGTAAGAAGCCAGTAATTTTAGAGGGGCGCGATATATTATTCGTGTTATTTCGTTGGGGCTCCCGAAGTATGCGAACCAAGATGGCGGACATCGGAATGTAATATGTGTATAGGTTAGGGTTAGGCCATAATTTTAGGTCTAAATACTACGGGAGGCTCTTGGCTAGTCTTCGAACTGATAATGGGACTAAAATAAGGAAAATTGGAAAGAAATTATCGCCTAACCCTAACCTGTTACCCATGTTACGTTCCGATGTCCGCCATCTTGGTTCGCATACTTCGGGAGCACCCATTTAACCATATATTCCACTCTGGGGTCTATTCAGATTATTCCGTACCAGTAATTCCGATAGTCTGGTTTTCGGTAATTCAATTAAACCATCAGTTGATTATACTAGACACAAGCTATGCCATTAAAAACGTCATTTAACGATCAGGTACTTTTTGACTACATTTGCCCATCATTTTATGATAGTTTTACCACATTACTGGGTGTATAGTTGTATGTAACATCGCTAGACATATCGTCACTTGACCACAACCGGGTGTGTCCCGCTGTATTTTAGAGAAACTTCTTTGTGACCAGTGTGGTTTGATTTATCAAGATGTATGTATGTTTTTATTGGTCGAGGTAATCGTTCAAATTAAACGAACAGCCTTGATTGACACGTAACAGCTGTGAGTCATGTGTCTTGGATAAATGGCTCCCACAAAACTTTTTGTGTTCATGTAAATTTAAGCCAAATAAATTTCCCAACATTTTTCAGTATATTGCTTCATTTGCCAACTTCGAAACTATTTCTGCCCAGGGCGAATTTCTAATAATGATGCCCCTTATATCTAACTTCAAAAATAATTTGGGGGATTAAACAGCTGATAAATGTGGTTATACATGAGAATAAATATAATAAAGGTCAAGTAAGAAAGAAATGTTTGTAATAATAAATTAAATATTCAATCTATGCAACAAACTCGAATGTAAAAAGTCAGCCTTTTTTTATCCGATTCCCCCTACAACGTGCTGTTTGGGGCGAGTTTCTGATAATAAAATTAAATCTGGTATTACCAAGTTATATAGGTTGTTATACATGAAAATGAATAAATTAAAAGTCAAGTAAGAGTGAAATGTTTTTATTATGATTAAAAATTGAAAGGTAAAAGTGGAATATTAAACGGTAAACTCTTAATTTATACGCTTCCTTTTTTATGGACAATCAGCTCAGATTGGACTTGGGCCACCAACTTTTTCGTGTCCGATAAGAAAAAAAAATCTAACGAGAACAAAACGACCCATAGGTCCACTCCGTGGGACACTGGGACGTCTACGCATGAATACCTTCAACACTCAAAATAGCTCTCAGGCAGGTTATAATAATCATTTTTCTTTCATTAGCAATTACCCAGTCGAGCAACGGACAATCATAAAAATGAAATATCAGGTCTGTGATCTTGAAATAGAATTAATAATATTTAAAATTAACTTTAAATACGGCATTTTCTAATAAATGTGTTTGCATACGGGGATTTTATGGAACTTTAATCAAAACAAGGCCCCAAACTTAAGCTATAAATGGGACGACTTTTTGAAGTAACTTTTAATGAATACCTACATAAATAAACACATCGTCTACGAAGTTCTGAATTTCAGAAATTGAAGTCGTCGAGGTAGAATTTGGACAATTTATAAATATATAAATAGCTGCATTTTTCATCAAATTTAGAATGAATGTGAGAATGGAGTCCCCAACTCTATCATATTACTAATTGCTAAATATAATGTTTTAATTATTACCTTACTTGGATGCCTTTTAACGACAACATTTTTAGGATATGCCTCTGAAAACTACATTTTCTAATAAAGGTAATTGCACGTGTTTTGTTTACCTAAGTTTATTCAAAAATGACCCCGAACTTCAACCATAAACGACTTTTCGAAGTAACTTTTTATGAATAGCTAAATAAATAAACACATCGTCCACGAGGGTTTTATTTTAGAAATTAAAGTCGGCGAAGTAGAATTTGGACAATTTTCAATTTTATAAATAGCTGCATTTTTCATAAAGTTTTGAATGAATGTGAGATTGAATCGCCAACTCTATTATATTCCTAATTGCTAAATATAACATTTTACCTATTACCATTTTAAAACTTTCAAATAAATCATTTATAAATATTTAAAAACATATTTATATATAAATAGCTACATTTTTTTTATGAATTTAAATTTTAACGTGAGCCGCCATTTATATAATATATTTATAATTGCTTTAAAATCACTTTGTCCTATTAATTTGGGGAATTTAGAGATAACTCTTACCTTGAAGCGAGTGTCTATATTTGCACGTATTTATTTATTTATATAGAACCGTGCATGATAGTTCCCACGCTAATGTATCACGCACAAATGCAGCATTTGGTTGCAGTTTTCAATAAACATGAAATCGAACGAGCGAAAAATTTGCAAATTTGTTGCAGATAAATAGTAGATTTTATATTTTTACACATCATAAATTGTAGATTGCAATTGAATAACGTGGAATGCTTGAATTGCCAATGAGTATTAAACACGTGACTCGCCGATTTTTATTATCAAATCCACCACAAATGGTAGCATACTTTGTAAATATCTGAGTTCAAGTAAACAAATCGAAAATTAGTAGCTCTTTACATATCAGTGGTTTTTATTTGACGCTGTCGACCAATGTCGCAGTTTAATATATGTAATACGATGAAATCAATAATTATTCTTCAGGTATTTTTGGCTTATTGTCGAGGTCTGAGCTCTTGCTGTGCTTTTTTTAGCATCACATTTCATGAAAATTCCAATTGATGCAAGACGCAAGAAGATATATTTTTGAACGCTCCATCTTACTTAGGACCGGACTTCCTCAGACATACATTACAAGTTCAACTTGACTGTGTGTTTAATATTTCCCTGGCCAAAAATATGAAATTCTATGTTTTCATATGTCTTACGATTCTATTTTTTGTGCACAAGTATTGATATCTTTTTATACATCAGTAGCTCATTTTTATTTTGCCACCATAAATGGTAGTTTATTCGCAACGATAAGCAACATGAGAATAATTTTTATATTTCAAATAGTAGCTCTTTACGTATCAGTGGTTATTTGAAAACTGTTGACCAAGGTCGCAGTCGTTATTGTTCGTTAGCATTTTTCCTCTATCATCAATTAAAGCGAGTCCTAAATAAAACAGCTTTGGTAAAAACCTATGAAAGCTACTACATAACAGGGTTTTTTGTCAACCCGTAGTTTTCAAATATCCCAGCGAAATAAAAACTTTCCTTATTTGCCAATTTTTTTCGTTATAAAGATCCACCTTGAATGGAAATATCCTGGATCCACAGCTTGAGCGTCTCTATTTATTTCAAACTGTCGGTGCCCACCGTTTAAAGAGCCTTGGAACAGACGCTACTCTGATTTTAGCTTAGATCGCGCTATTTTTTATGTTTGACAAACTGCGGTGTTTTGTTGGTCACAGTTATGTCTAACGCTTTGAAAATTGGGGTGTTGTATTGTGTACTGAACTGCGAGTCCTTCCCCCTTGTTTACTTTCTAATTCGGGTCCGTATGTGTCAGTTGCCACAATAGGTTGTAAACAGTGGTTTGTGCATGTTTTATGTCTTTTAGTGTTCTCTGATAAATCGGCGATTTTTTCTGCGTTGATGCCCTTTGTTGTCAATGTTTTTTGCTATTGTTGTGAACAGTGACTAGTGCGGGCTTCGAAAATTATTTGTTACAAATTGTTATATAAATTACAAATTGAACGTCTTACAAATTCTCTTTGCACAGGCCTAGGAAGGCACACCTAGAACTCATTTCTCAAATACTCTCCAATAATAAGAAAATCGGGTTTCGAGAAAAGCATTTTTTGACGCTAAATAAATAAAAAAATTTCGAAATAAATTTACAAACGAGACTGCTCTTACTTTAAATAAGCCAGACTGACTCGAAGTTCAGATATTTTAATTTAGTATATACATTAGTAGGCGTTATTGACCGCATGCTAGTCAGGTGATCGACATTAGGCTATATATAGCAATTCTGCTTAGAATAGCTTTTTTCTAACTACTGCTCCCTTATATTTTTCTATCTTTGTGTTAGTTGATCCGTATGCACTGTTCGCAAGGTTACTGTAACAAGAAATGCAATGGCTATATGGATTGGTTCGAAAGTACACGCTGTTACAAGATTAATTCAGTAACATTTCGCCTGATTAGAGTTACCTGTAATCAAAATTGATAAGAAACTGCTATTTTTTGAACTGTGCTGACAACATTGTCAAGTCTCACGCGTTAACCAGAGCCATCACGCCCTCTTCTCAGAGAGCTTAAAATAAATTTAA